ACCTTATATTCAATTACTTCTGATCAAATAGGTACTTTAAACTCTTATGATCACTGAATACACTGAATCTTGCACCATACAGATAGTGTTTCCACGACTTCAAGGCAAACACCACAGCTGCAAGCTCCAAATCATGAGTAGGATAGTTCCTCTCATGGGTCTTAAGTTTCCTCGAAGCATAAGCCACTACTCTCCCTCCCTTCATCAACACACAACCCAAACCCTAGTGAGAAGCATCACATAACACATCAAAATGATCACCAGTGTCAGGTAACACCAAAATTGGAGAAGTAGTCAACCGTCTCTTTAACTCCTGAAAACTCTGCTTGCAAGCGTCTATCCAAACAAAAGGTTGATCCTTTTGAGTCAGTTGAGTCAAAGACATTACTATTCGGGAAAACCTTCAATGAATCTCCGATAGTAACTCGCTAACCCAATCTCAATGCTGGCACATCATCTGGGAACACCTCAGGAAACTCACTAACAATCTCAATCCCAGTGATGGCCCTCTCTGTCTCAACACTCAAAGCGGCAAAAAATATGAAGCACTCAGCTTTATCCATCATCAACTACTCAGCCTGACTTGCTGATACCAACACATCATCCTCCAACTGAGGAAATACTAACTCTTTTCGAGCATAATCTATAAGGATGTGATGGGTAGATAACCAATCCATCCCTAAGATTATGTTGATATCCACCATGGGCAACACAATCAGGTTCACTTGGAACCTCCTACCAAACACCTCTATAGGGCATCTCACACACATCTCCGACGTCACCACAACAACTGAAGCCAAAGTAGACATAGACAAATCAACATGCAACGGAGATACTGACAAACCCAATCTCCCCACACAATCAACAAAAATGAAAGAATGCGTGGCACCAGATTCGAACAAAAATAAAACATCCTCACCTGCTGCCTTCCCCTTCTCCTTCACCAAGTTTGATGAAGTGGAAGCCTCTACACCTGACAATGCAAACACTCTTCCCACAATTGTAGGCCTGGGTGGCGTCGGGGCACTCCAAGATGGAGTCGATGGCATCTGATAATCTCTGGAAAGGTGGCCTGGCCTGCCACATCTGAAACAAACATTCCCCGGATGGGAACAATCCACATCTGTAGCATCGCACTGATGGTGCTCCACTCTGAGGAGTAGCAGGACGAGGTCCTCTACTAACAGCACCCCTCCGAGACTGAACAGGCCTGTCATAGGGTCCCCTCTGCTGGTCTCCTCTCCTAGATCCAGATGATCCCTCTTGAACTCTAGTAGCCTTGCCACTGCTACCACCACCTTCTAATCTCTCAATAGTCTTTGCCTTCTCAACCAAGGCAGGAAACTCATCTATGGACATAGGGACTATGACCCTCTTCAGCTCATGCCTCAACCCCTCTACAAACTTCCTACATCTCCAAGCCTCAGATATGGCCTGAGAGTAGAAATGAACCAGATGCTCAAACCTTATAGCATACTCAAAAACAAACAAGTTCCCCTGATGTAGTCTCATGAACTCAGCCTCCTTAGCGTATCTAACATTGTCCGAGAAATACTTCTCCAAGAAAACTCTCTTGAAGCAATCCCAATCTACAACCACACCTCTGCTCTCCATCATTTGCCTGGTGCCTCTCCACCAGTACTCAACCTCGCCTGCCAGCATGTAAATTGCATAGGCCAACGTCCTCTCCTCAGAAGACCCCAGAAAATTGAAGATCTTCTCCATCTCACGCAACCACTGATCTACCACATCAAGATCTGAATCCCCCTTAAACTGAGGAAGTTGACTCTCCTAAACTCTGCTAAATCTCTCCCATCTTGAGAGACCACCGGTCTAGCTGCCCCAGCCACAACTCTACCGCCTCCATCTAAGCAAAGTGAGCACTCTGCTGCTGCATCACCATGCCCATCATCTCCATGGCCCTAGCGATATGATCATACTGAGGCCTCACCATACTGAAAGAATCGAAAACATTTTTTTAGTAACACTATACCACCATATATCACCAAAACTAACACATCAGAGATATGGCCCAACAGAAACCTAGAAGGATCACTCCCCATAGAGTATCCAAAAGACTAGACCGGCTCCGATACCATAAAAAGTGTAAAGACCCGTCATGGTCTCTACACTTAGTGGAATCAAACTACTACTAGCAAACTAAGAGAAATATTAAGCTAGATAACTCATACATACAGGGATAGGTAAGAATAAAAATAACTAAGTTTCTGTATACAAAATAGAACACCATATATGTACAGTCATCCCAAAAATAATATTTCCTAGTGCCGGTCAAGCACAAACAAAACCTTTACCCAAAATGGTAACTCTAACACGAGGATCAAACTCCCCGTCTCGCAGCGGCCACCTCAACTCCAAGCTATCCCTTACCTGCTCCCATACCAAGTATGATCATTGTAGTCCCACCACATGGAAACAGAAGGGTAAGCTAGAGTTCAAAAATCAATCATACAAGTATAGAACAGTAATACATACTACACAATCATCCAACTATCAATCATATTCATAGAGTCACACCATACACTACCTAATACTACACATACATAAAACACAATCCACCATTCATGAAGCCAAACACCACACACTTCATCATATTAACAATCATGCAATAAATGCATCTCATGACAGATATCAATACATATCAATCATCTAATGCGTCACCACGCATACACCTAGGAGATCTCCCTAACAACAGAGTAGTATAAGTGACATCCCATCCTACCGAAACCACCCCAACCGTTTTCACGCCCAATGCGCCCGCTCGGTCACAACTAAACAAGATATAATCCTCACTCGGGTTTACTTGGATGATGTCACTTACACAATTGGAAGTCCAGATCCACCGTCAGGTATAGAATAGCTGGGTACAGGCTTACCACAACCTTGGCATGCATTACCAAGTCAATTGTGGAGTTCGCCCACTGACTATCCGCAAGGATCCATGCACCTTCCCCGAGTACTTGGTTAAGGGAATAACCCTCGACCTCATACCATGTTCCAACACTAGCTAAGGACTTAAAGGAGACACACCCAACCTAGTGGCCTACTTGAGCACCACTCTCCCAAATCCAGTGGCCTACCTGAGCACCACTCTCATAAATCAGTGGCTTATCGAAGCACCACTCCCAAGAGACTCTATGTGAGCTCTTCCAGTTCAAAAATATTTTTCCTCTCCTCAAGTCCTATGCTAGACTCATGCCATAAGGCATCACATGCAATTATGCATCACACATCATACATGGTGTGCCCACCATCATGATCAACAATCATACGCATGTCATAAGACATCACATGCAATAATGCATCACACATCATGCATGGTCTACCCACCATCATGATCAACAATCATACAAATATGAACATATACACATGTCATATCATATTTAAACATTCATATATATCATTACCAAGCATACATATGAATCACACCTCACCATACATCATATATCGTACATACATGATCTAAAACTTCAACTTTAAACACACCGAAGCATCATTTCAACTATCACAAATAAACATGTTCACACCCTACACAGCCTGAGCGTGCTCGACCTAATCCTAGTCAGAGAGTTTCAAAGCTCTCATCCAAACCAACAAATCTAGCCACATGAAAACACAAAACACGATGCACAAGTTCTATACAACTCAAAAATAAACTTAAATCTCACATGCACCCATCTGATGCATCAAAATCACCAAAAACTCCATTTTTCCCTAAACCCTGAAAAATGAGCAAATTCTCTGATCCAACCATGGATCCTTGACTTTCATGCATCAATTGAGTTTCTAAACTCACATGCAACCTAAACAACAAACATTCTAGCTTCCCTTACCTGAAAATTGGCTCAAAATGGCCAAGAACTGAGGAGAAGTAGAATTTCCTTCCAAAGCTCAACCCGGAACTTCAATCCACCCAAAACATGCTTTCTAGTCTAAATTTCAAGAAAAGCTAGAAGACATTAGTGATCTAGAGGAGAAAAAGAATTGTATAGAGAAATTTGGGAGAGAAAGGAGCTCACAGACCCAAAGTCCTTCTCTCTAAAACTTCTCTCTAAAAACTTCACTTTCTCGTCAATCACATAACCCCTATTTATAGAAGTTCAGGAGTGGCCAGAATGACCCGTTCTGCACCCCTTCATCATGTGTAAAAATCACATGCAGAACGGTCCTTTCTGAAACCAGAATAGCCCGTTCTAGGACTTATCGAGAATGACCTATACCCCATCCAAAATGGCCCATTTTCAACTACGATTTACAGGTCAATTTAGTAGTTTGGAACGACCCGTTCCAGATTGGGAATGGTCCGTTCTAGGCTACTAAATCACCCTTATTTGGCTTTTAGGTCTTCTGAAATAACTTACTACGTTACAGAATCAGTCTGATTCACTAGTTCAACCAAAATATCGATTCATGATACTGTTATCTAAGAAGTCAAATACATGCTCGGATCGGTTGGGTTGTTGATTCCTAGTTCAACCGATTGGTCCAGGTCAATTTTTAAAACACTACCTATATGAATATTTTAATTGTTAGCAACTTTTTCTATAAATGTAATAGTTTTGTTTCATCTATATCTATATATAAAAAGAGTACATAAGTTTATAACCATTTTTTTGTCTCCACATTTTCTACATGTTTCTATCATTAAATTTTTAAATAATAAAAGATAATATTACAAATTAACCACCTATATAACCACTTAAATAAGTTAACTACCTCTAATCACTCAAATTTTCTAATTTTTAAACATTTTTATTATGTAACCTCAATTTTTATTTATTTTAAAATTTTTAAATAAAATATAAAGATATGGAGTGTCTCAACTCCACCAATCTTTTAACAAAATAACAAATTTTGTTTATAATTTGGATAACTACAATGAATTTTACTTATAGTCTATGTAAATTTTAATATTAATTTATATAATAGAGTATAAATTTAAACAATGTATTGAAGCGTACGAATAACCCGAATAACCCATGTACCAATACTTCATAAGGTTGCATACCGTGTATCATACTTGTACCAAGTACCAAAGTGTATTGTGAATTATGTGACTATGCATCATATACGATAAAGGGAGTACTTTTTGAATCGGGTATAACTCCCATACACTACAAGAAAAATGATTATTATCTACGGAATATTATTTTTCCGATCTTAGACTGCAGGTGCCATTGGGGGCATTGCTGCTTCACTGATTCGTGTTCCAACAGAGGTAAATAAATTCTCTTATTTCTAAGAATGACATTTCCATGGTTGAAAACTGTTTCACTGGACTGGAGAACTTCATAGTTTTACATGTTCCTAGGTTATCAAGCAACGAATGCAAACTGGGCAGTTCACTTCTGCTTCTGGGGCTGTTCGCTTTATTGCTTCTAAGGAAGGCTTTAAAGGATTTTATGCTGTATGAAGTTCACCATCTCCCCTTTTTAATGCTTTTTTGATAAATTCTGTTCCTCTCATGTCTGCAATGATAAGTTAAAATGTTTCTTTGATATTGATCTTTGAAATCACAGGGGTATGGATCTTTTTTGTTGCGGGATTTGCCCTTTGATGCTATTCAGTTTTGCATCTACGAGCAGATTCGAATAGGTTATATGCTTGCGGTAAATTCCTCAAGTTGTTTCACTATTAAAATTTTGACCCTCCTCTTATATCCTTGCAATAACACAGCTCCTATTCCAATTCCAGATGCATCGCATTCTAGCTCAAAAGTATGTTCAAAATTTGGAAGAGCTAGTATGGGTGCATTTGTGAGTTGATCCTTTAAGAGTTGAAATGCATGATCATGTTTATTGGTCCATTGAAAAGGTACATATTTTTTTTACAAGTTCATTCAAGGGTGACGCAATAGTAGAGAAGTTAGGCACAAATCTTTTATAAAAACTTGCAAGCCCATGAAAACTCCTAAATTCACTAATATTACTTGGTTTTGGCCACTCTTGAATAGCCTTGATTTTCTCGGGATCCACTCGAACCCCTTCTTTACTAACAATGAATCCTAGGAAAGCCTGGTCCACACAAAAAGTACATTTTTCAACATTTGCAAACAAGTGGTTTTGCCTAAGAATCATTAAAACTTCTCTAAGATGTTCTACATGATCATCTTGAGACCTACTATAGATTAAGATATCATCAAAATAAACTACCACAAATTTTCTTATACACTCTCTCAAGACATGATTCATAAGCCTCATAAATGTACTTGATGCATTGGTTAAGCCAAAAGGCATAACAAGCCATTCATATAAGCCAAATTTAGTCTTGAAAGCAGTTTTTCACTCATCACCCTCTTTGATCCTTATTTGGTGATATTCACTTTTAAGATCTATCTTGGAAAATATGTTAGCACCATGTAATTCTTCAAGCATATCATCAAGTCTAGGGATTGGGTGTCTGTACTTGATTGTTATGTTGTTAATAGTCCTACAATCACAACACATTCTCCATTTTTCATCTTTCTTAGGGACTAACAACACAGGCACAACACAGGGACTCAAGCTCCTTTGTACCCAACCCTTGTCCAATAACTCTTGAACTTGGTTCTCTATTTTCTTGGTTTCTTGTGGATTTGTCCTATAGGCAGGTCTATTGGGTAGACTTGCCCCAGGCACAAAATCAATTTGATGTTCTATACCCCTGAAAGGTGGAAGGCCTTTTGGACCCTCATTAGAGAATACATCATCAAATTCTTTTAATAATTGTGAAACACCAAGTGGTAGAGAACTAGACTTAAGATTTAAATTATGACACTTAAGCATACTTCTACAAAGAAGAATATAAGAAAGTTTTTCAACAAGTAGTGTTTGTTTCAAATTATCTTCTTGTTGAATTCCTTCTAATGGAAGAGGTTTCTCTTCCTTCTTCTTCTTTGAAGACTTATGCTTCTTTTTTTTTCAACTTTTTTTTCTCTCTCTTTTCAATTTCATTTGGACTTGATCCTTTATCACTTGTGAAGGAGATAAAGGATGAAGTACAAACTTCTTTTCTTTATGAGTGAAAGTTATTTCATTGGTGAGGTCATTATGCATGGTTTTCTTGTCAAATTGCCATGACCTTCCCAACAAAATATGGCAACCCTCCATTGAAACTATGTCACATACCACATGATCTTCATAGTTACCAATGCAAAACTTGAGTTTCACTTGTTTATCTACAATGATATCCTCATCTTCATCTAAGCAATGAAGTTGATAAGGTTTGGGATGGGGAATTGGAGTGAGATCTAGCTTCTAAACCAACCTTGTGCTACAACAGTTGCAACATGAACCACTATCTATAATGAGAGAACAAGTTTTATCTAAAATCTTACACCTTGTGTGAAAAGTGTTCTCTCTTTGTGAAATATGAGATTCATTAGGTTGACTTCCTAGAAGCCTTCTAATCATCAACAATTGACCATCATAAGGATAAGCTCTTTCAACTTGATGGTCTTCTTCACTAGTCTCACTGTCACTTGAAGTAGTAGCACTAGATTCATCATGATTACTATAAATGTCTTGTCCTCTTAAAATTATGATTTTCTTGTTTAGAAATTGAGAAGCTATATGACCTCTTTCAAGACATTTAAAGCATTTGATTTCACTAGATTTACTACTAGAAGTGATAAAATTTTTATTTTTCTCTTTTTCTTTGTCTTTCTCTTTTTCTTGACCTTTGCTAAAATTTTTAGAAGAGTCATATTTAGAAAACTGACCTTCCCTCTTGTAGTCCTTCTTGACATAAGAGCTAGAGTGAGATTTATCTTTCTTCACTCCAAATATGTTTAAACTAGATATAACCATTATAGATGACGAAAATTCTTCTTTAAATTTATTTTAAATAAATTAAAATAAAAAATTCATAATGTGGTCTAAAACGGTAAGGAGTTTGAAATGAAAAAGACATTAGATAAGAGAAAATGATTTAGATTTTTAATTAAAAAAAGGATAGAATAGATATCCTTTCTTATATAGTAGTATAAATTTAATACAATTGTATATCCAAAATTAAACTCAATACTATGAGTTAAAACAATGTCATCTTATTGGTTAATCCATGTAATTAGTGGTGTACCGACCAAATAAATGAACTTGGCCAAATACAAATATTACTGAGGTGGTACATTAAAACAAAATTGACAAGTTAACAATGCAGATGAGGTCCCAGGTATGATTTTTATACACTACAAGAAAAAATGTTAATATCTATGGAATATTACTTATAAAAATTTTTCTGTAGATAATTTTTAATTATCTACAAAATATTACCTATGGAATTTTTTCCGTAGATAATGTTTAGTTATCTACGGAATATTACCTACAAAATTAGTTATTTATGGAATATTACCTATGGAATTAGTTATTTACGGAATATTACCTACAGAATTTTTTCCATAGATAATGTTTAGTTATCTACGGAATATTATCTATGGAATCAGTTATGTACGGAATATTACCTACGGAATTAGTTATCTATGAAATATTACCTATGAAATTTTTTTCGTAAATAATGTTTAGTTATCTATAGAATATTACCTATGAAATTAGTTATCTAAGAAATATTACCTACGAAATTAGTTATTTACGGAATATTACCTACAAAATATTTTCCATAGATAATATTTAGTTATCTATGAAATATTACCTACAGAATTAGTTATCTACAAAATATTACCTACAAAATTAGTTGTCTACGGAATATTACCTGCGAAATTTTTTCTGTAGATAATTTTTTAATTATTTAAGTAATGTAAAGAATATTTGGTAAAAAAATAAATATTATTAAAAATTGTCATTTTAAATTTTTTATTTTTATAAATTAACGATGATAAAAAAAATACTAATATTTGGTTTTAAATTTGATATGAAAATATTATGATATAATTAGATAAGATTTTAAATTAGTATTTTATTAATGGTTGATAATTAGACAATAAAACAAGAATAAATATATTTTTTGAATTTTATATCATAGATTTAAGATGAATAAATATATTAGGTTAATTAATATAATTTATTTAAAATGTTAAAATTTAATTTATAAAAATAATATTTTAAAAGAGAATGGTTATAATAATACCGGTGTAACTTTTACTAAGTATTACACCGCTCAATAACTTTATATTAAATGTGAATTTTATAAATTCAACCGTTAGATTGAATGTTTCTTACTCTTAGCTCATATATACAAAATTTTATATTAATTCAAGATGATTTGATAATTCATTCTTGTAAAACAAAATTAACGTAATATATACATTTCAAAATATACTAAAATATTATCATAAAAAAATACTAAAAATATGAACACTTTGATTGCCTTCAAGTTGTTGTTCAATTTGAACAAAATTTGATATAAACATATAAAGTGATATGAACTTTCAATCTAACGATTGGATTTACAAAATTCACATTTAATATAAAGTTATTGAGCGGTGTAATACTTAGTAAAAGTTACACCGTGTTATTATGACCCTTATCATTTTAAAATATATAAAATATTATTTAAACTTTTAAATTTATAATAAATAATTTAAATTGTATCATAATATTAATTTTAAATAGAAATAAGTAGATTGTTAATTATACAAGTAAGTATAT